ACCAACTCCCAAGAGGATGCTTCCTTGATCACTGCAGTCTTAGATTGTTCAAGTCTGGGGTTAATCGTTATCTTCCACACATATCTGCATAAGCTGTGCCTCTGTAAATCTCTAGCTTATGTGGATCTTGTGACTTGTACAGAGTGACCATCATTGTAAAAAAATGTTACTAATTTGTTGTACAGGTTGGTATAATTTGAAACATTGAAACTCATTGGCAACAGCAGCCAATGTAGATTTAAAATGCACCTGCAAATCATTCCACATTTGTTTTATATCATTGATTATATAATATTATTCTAAGCTAGTTTGATTTAACCCCAGCTATGGCTCCTATAAATAAAGTGCATCTTTTGGTGCCAACTGCAAACATGATACACTGTGTATAAGAGATAAACCTGAACTTCTGAGAGTGAGGAAACCTTTGCAGCAATGAATCAGAAAGAATCTTAGCAAAGTTAGACAACATTGTTTAGAACTGGATTAATTCATTAACTGCAAATGATGCATGATCATAGTTCTATAGCTTGACTGCCAATGATGGAAATTTCTGCTACAGATAATGTGTTTCTAGTTCTCTTTTTACTGACAATGAAATCCATGATACACAGTTGAAAACAGATTTTTTTTTTTATGTAAACTTTTGCATATACCAGACTGCATATTTGTGAACATGCTTTTTCCAAAATCCAGAAAGGGAAAGTGATTTATATTATTTTTCTTTTTTCCTTTTGAGTATGTGCAAAATAAAATTAAAAAAAAAAAAAATGCTGTACAAAGGGTTCAATGCAAATCCACCACTAATATTTCATTTTCCTCGATAAAACATTAAATTTAAAGAATAATGAAATACAAAGCAATTTCTTTTTCTACATCACACAAGTGAATAAGCACAAATAAATTCCTACAAAAAAAAATAAATTTATTCAATTATTACTGTCTAATCTTGAGTTTTGCAGAATTATGAACAACCAACAAGTCTTCTGAAGAGCAGATGTAATTCAGTGAAACTCAGTCAAGATAGTCATAAGTAAAAAAAATTTATTTATTAATGCTCCAACTTTTTATATTGAGTATTATAATTACAAGACTTGACTGCCTTAAAATGTTATTTTTGGTGAAATACATTCTTATTGTTGTTGGTAATTAAATGATAAAGTGAAAAATGTCATTTATCATATTTTTTTCCTGAAAATTAAAAAAAGTGGAGTTCTTTTGTTTATATGTATGTATATACACTACAGAAAAAACTTGCACCAATAAGTGCATATAAAAAAAGGAAAATTGAGATGTATGAGCAGTCAATTGCTGATATCCACTGATGAGTGGACTGATGGGTCTGTCTACGAAACTCCGCAGTTGGAATGTTGAAGGTAACACCAATCAACTAAATGACAGACATTTTACTTGTGTGTGTGTATATATATATATATATATATACACACACACAGTGCCCAGTAAAAAAAAAAAAAAAAGAAAGCAGTAAATTCAGAAAGAAATTTCTTTATCATGATTCATGTACATAGTAAACACTTATTGCAGATTCTCAAAATGTTTGCCTGAATATTCAACACAAAGTTGTAAGCATGTTAAACAGGAAGCAGTAGCTTTATTCAAGGTCATGAATATTCAAAATAATTATTCAAGATCAATTATTCCTGAAAGATAAAACAGTGATAATAAATTTGCCGCTTTTTTTTTTTTTACTGGGTGCCCTATATATGTGTGTGTGTGTGTGTGTGTGTGTGTGTGTGTGTGTGTGTGTCTCAAAATAAACTAATTGACAAGGAAATTTGAACACTTACACCCACTAATATCTCATCTGCCCACTTCTATCTCCCTGCCAAAATACACAAAAACAACAATCCAGGAAAGCTGGTCATTTCATCATTTAACTGCCACACGACTAAAATATCTAAATATGCAGACCGTTACATACCTAGCTAAGGAAGTAAAATCCTACATCAGAGACACGGCAGACCTACTAAACAGAATTAAGCATATACATTGCCAGAAAATGCAATTCTAGTAAACATGGATGTAAGATCACTTTATGCAAACATCAAAAACATCAAATGACTAAACACTCTTAAAGAAGCACTTACTAAAGAACAAAACAAGACCCTCCCACCACCACCACAGAACTAATCACAAAACTTATGGGACATATTCTTATATTGAACACTTTCAATTTCAATGGAAAACACTACCTACAAGAGGATGTGCTATGGGCACTGTTTGCAGCTTCATTATATGCCACAAACTTCATGGGAAAAATTTGAGGAGACCCATATTTATCCCTTAATCGGTAATGACTACATATTCTATGCAAGATATCTTCATACACACAGGTAATGAGGAGAAACTCACTGAATTCCTTATGACCATAAATAGTACACAACTCCACTAAGTTCGACCACAAAAAAAAATCAAGATCAGTAACATTTTTAGACACCCGCATCTACATAGATAAAAACGGAAAACTACAAACAACACTACACACCGAAATCACCAACACCCACAACTATCTACACTTTAAGTTTCCCCACCCAAAACATCTCAAGGAGAACCTTCCCTATTTACAAACATTTAGAAGGAGATGTTCTAACAATGAAGAGCTAAGTAAACACACTAAAAATCTCTTCACAACATGTGGCTATAAACAACACCTAATCAGAGAACAAATAAATAAAGCAATTTCTACACCTAGAGAAGACATCCTAATGTATAAAATTAAAAATAAATCCATACACATCTTTCTAGTAACCACTTTCAACACCACTCTTCCTTCACTATCTCAGATAGTCACTGAGAAATACTACATCTTAAACCAGACCTAAAAACTTTGTTTGAGCAACCCAGCCTTCTAGCATATTGTAGACCTAAGAACCTTAAGGAAATTATAGGTAGTAACCAAATTTCAAATAAGATAACCCAGAATGGACCAAGAATAAAAACAACAGGATTTTCCCAACCACGTAACAACAAAAGGAGCCTGTGTTCTAATCACATTAGATGTACCAATTTGTTCACTAGCTCAGTCACTAAATCTACTTTCAAAATCTACCACAACTCTACCTGTAGAAATTGTAACATAATTTACTTACTAGAGTGCACACTATGTCAGAAACAATATGTGGGGAAATCTGAATGGCCCTTTCACTGCAGAATTAATAATTATCGGAATCGGATCAAGTCGGCTCCCCATGAAAGATTACTACCTGTAGAACAGCATTTCCGTCTAGAAAAACATGATTCTAAAAGCCATGCAAAATTCACTATAATTGAAAAAATAGAAATAGACAGAAAAGATAACCTCAGAAAAATACTAGAGGAATATGAAGACAAATAGGTTTTGCACCTCAAAACACTTTGCCCAGAGAAACTTAACCACAAATTTAACAACACAGAATTAATATATAACCCCATAAATCAAGCCCTATCCACATTTCTCATCCACACAAGACAGACATGCTTGCAGAGGTGTTGAAGTCTCACATATACACACACTCACACAAATATATACACATGCATACATCCCCTTTCCAGCAACCAATAAAACTGTTAAAATGACCAAGGAGGGAATTCTGAGATTCAGGAATCTCCCAACCTCTATTTTAAAAACAACTTGAAAGAGGCCATTTAACCAATACAAGGACTGACCAAAATTAATGATTAAAAAAGAAAGAAAAAAAAAAAAGACTACAGATAAAGTTCACTTTCTTCAGAGATAATCATTCACTCCTGTATATACCAACTACTGTTGCTAACAAGCAGGGATTTTTCTCTCCTGATGATGGCCAAAACTAGATGAGGAACCTAATTGAAATAATGAAACAAAAAAAAAAAAAAAAAAAAATAATATACAACCCTGTGAGCCTGAAAATATCAATTTTTTAATATTTTTTTATTGTTCAAAACACACACACACGTGCATAAGTACAGTCAATTTATAGTAAATTGAAAGCAAAAACAACACAAAGAAAAAAAATGATGACAATGTTTCAGCTTATCCATCTTAATAATATTACGGTGAAAAGTTTTTAGTTCAAGCAACTTTTCAAAATTGACTAAATGATCAAACATAAGATTTTTTTTTTTTTTTTTAAATTCTTTTGGGAAGGGCTTCTTGGTTGAGCTAACAACTTTTCAGCACCACCAAATACATCTAATTCTATCAAGATGTAAGCAAACAATATGGCTTAGAAGTAAAACTAGATAAGGAAGTAGATAGCTTTATGATTAAATTTTGTACTAGGTCTTCTGGTTAGTTTCTGTAGCCAAAATGGTAAGGTGCTGCTCAAGTTTGACAAACACCCAAGGATAATGGATGTAAAGATATCAAAAATGAATCTAACAAGGCAAAGAATTTTAAGAGCTTCCGTGGTGGAGTCAGGGTGTCAAAGTGACTAGGATAACCAGATAAATCTACTTGAAAGTTTGGTGATGAAAAACTTGATATATGCAATTTCAAGTTGGCATTTCATTCCCATCCACCTCATCTAGAAAATCAATTTGTTATATGATCCAGGAAAAAAAAAAAAAAAAAAAACCCACCACCACCACCACCACCACCACCAACAACAACAAAGAGGAGTTTTAGAAAGAAACCATCTACTGAAATGCAAACCCAGAGGAAATTTTAAGTGGCACTGCTTTTCTTTTCTTTTTAAACTACATTAACAAACAATACTAGAGTTATATTTGCTGGTTTGGCTCGGTTGGGAGAACAAGAAATTTCAATTGAGAAGGTCTGAGAGATTACAATTCAAATATTAAGGGAGTCCGACATGTCACAACAAAAATTCACAATTTCAAGATAAAACAAAAATACCTTTCTTTCTCGCAATCTCAGATTTGCAAATGAGCCCTTTAACAATCATTGTTGAAACAAATGCAACAATAACACATGTCGAAGACAAGAGAAAAGAGATCACTTCAACAAACACATGATCTACAGAGAGGTCAATGAAGATACTACTAAATGACATGAGACTTACCTTTGCCAAGGTTGTGTGACAAGGGTCTGTTTCGTACATGGGCTGTGAAAGAATAAAAAAAAAATTAAAATTACCTCAGATAATTTAATGAAAGCAGATAATTAACATCTTTAAATCATGATGTCACTGTGATCATATTTGAGAAATACATACGTGTTCAAAAATTGCTATTGATAAGAAATTTTGTTATTCTACAAAAAACATTTTGAGCAGTTTAGATGAAATTATTATATCAATTATCTGCCCATAGCAATCTTTATTTATAATAAAGATCTTTAAAACCCAGTTTCGTTTTCGAGTTTTAATTTCATTATTATTATTTTTTTATTGTTTTTTTTTTTTTCTTTATCTCCATAGAAACAGATCAGAAGTCATGAAAATATGTTTGTAAATTACAAACAAACCTGGATGCAGAATGATGTAACACAAAATTCAATTTCATTTTAAAAAAAGAAAAATTATGAAAAATTTAACCATTTTTCAGTTTTCATGTTTCTTTAACAAAAAAAAAAAAATGAATTAAAGATAGCAGTAAGAGTTCTATTGTGAATAATATACAGTGTGCGGCAAACTGAAAATACTCACCACATTAACACCAGCACATCACGCATGAAAAGAAAATCTCAAAATGCAGTTGCTAAAGTGGTTCTTATGAAAATTTTATACTGCAAAGCATGTCTTAAAACAGAGTGATGTAAAAATAGAATCTATCACTTTGAAATGCTTTTTTTCTTTCTACAATGTCAAACTAATTAAAACAAAAAAGAAAAAACAAAAACATTAAAAGAAAAAAACAAAAAAACAAAACAAAAAAATAAAGCATTAACTTTTTTGAGTGTATGGTTTTCAAAGGTAATTCCGTTATAATACAATACCAGGTTTTTGGAGAATAGACCTCCTGAAGCATCATGTTATATCAGGGTCTGTCTGATTATTATATTTTTGTTGCTTTTTAAATTATTTAAATGGCGATAAAGTGTTTTATTCACCGAGTCATAATTCTGTGTATGTGAGGAATGCTGGGGATACAAATTCAGTATTTCAAACAAAGTGTATGAAGAATATGAATGTGAAAATTGTAATTGGTTAGACAGCTTTATAAATTAAAGATAGTTATAAAATAATACATAGAAAAAAAATAAAGTAAGAAAATTAACAAAAGTGATAATGAAGTGTTTTGTATGAGAGAGTATTGAAAAGTTCTCAGCCAGACCAAGAGGGAAATGACTAAAACATATGCACATATTCTCACATTCAACCAGATTAACAAACTTGGCACATTGATTCTAAAGTTTCTTAAAAAAAAAAAAAAAAAAAAAAATCTAGTATTTGGTCATTAAAATAGACACTTTGGGGAAAAGGTCTGGCCGAGAACTTTTCAGCATCCATCATATATAAACACAAAAAAGTGAGCCAGTCACAATCTGTAAATAACAATTTCGAAATAAATTAATCTTAAGATTTTCCCTAAATAACCTTGATCCTACTTATTGCATTTTGACCATCATTTATAATGTACAATGCAAATTATCATGTGCTTAATACTAATACACTTGACTATATTGGCTGTATCTTGGCAACCAATGGTCATTTAAACAAGTTTTGCTAAAGATAATGCAAGTTATGTTTACTATATATATTTTTAATAAGTTTTCCTTGTTGGGAGATTAGTTTCCATAGCTTGGTGTTGAAGTTGTAAAGGAATTGACAAACACAGTGTCAGTTCTTGTTTAAGAACTGAGCCAGCATCTAATTTCTTTCTTGTTAATGATTGAAGCCAGTCAAAAGCTCAAAACTATAACAATAACCTACATGAAAAAAAAAAAAAAAAAAAAAAAAAATGAAGATTTCCTTCATACCTTCAACAATATGGAAAGTAGTTTGCTAACAAGAAGAATTTATTAAAAATATAAGACATCATTTGTCTGCTATTTGTAACAAAAATATGAGGATTGACTGAAAAGTTCATAGGCTGACCAAGATGTAAATCTAAGTAGACACATCAGTTGGTAGACTAAAAAACATGCAAGTGTACAACAGCTGTTTTTACTGAATAAACTGGTTTTATTTTTTCTTTTCCTCCCCTCCCCACCAATTCTCAGGGCAGTTTGTTTTTTAAACATATTACTCATATTAAACCTTTAAGAACTTCATATTATGACCATTAAACAGACATATTCTATCAAAGAGGAGGAAAATGAAAGAAACAAAAAAAAGTATAAAATGACAAAAAAAAAAAAAAAAAAAAAAAAAAAATTAAAATAAAAACTGACTGATTTTCATTTCTCTTGCTTCAGAGCTTAATCAAGGAAATGTAATCAATACGTTCAACAACAAAAGAAAATAAAACTTGTCATTTATGGTAAGTATACCTTTTCTTTCTTCCACCTTCACCTTCTGACAAAATATCTTTTTTAATGTCCACAACATTTTTTAGCCCCTAGGAAAATCTAACTTTACATGATTTAGAAATATTTATATTGCTTTACTATGTTTTTCTCTATTTTTTATTTTTAAATATAAAACAAACATTAATAAAATAGCAACTTTTCTCATCTGACTTTAAACAGTAAATCACATTTATAATTGATCTTTTGTTATCCCCAGCAATAGGTTTTGAAGTGATTCCTCCAGCACACCCTGACATTAGAGTCTGACTATGCAACAGAACCAGATACTAAGAAATAGATTTTGTAATTTGTATTCCATAAAGTATTGTAGACAAAAACTAGAACACTTTGCAATAAAACTAGTAAAATACATTCATTGATGTTTGATGAAGAAAAATAAAGTCTGGACTGAAAAAAAAAAAAAAAAAAAAAAAATTCATATTAGATGTCCATAAAAAATAAGGAAAATAAAAAACATCAATTGAAAGGCTTTTTTTTCTGTGGGATTGAAATCTTTAGAAAAATAAATGGTACAAAATAAAAGCAACAATAAATGCCAGCTTCTACAACTATTTCAAGCAGTGTTTCAGAATTTCTTTAACCATATTATGCTAGTACCTTTAACAAACTCACCATAATGACAATATATCTTCACATCCCATTACATGTCTGATCTACACTGGGTAGCATAACAATGGAAAGTTAACAATGCTCCCACATTTACTAATGAAGTGAAATTCTGCCAATAAAGGCACATCTATTTGCACAGAAATAGTTTTCAGCAAACACAAGAGAATGACAACAACAATAGAACATTACACAAGGATGAATTGAAGACGTGAACAATGCAATATATAAGAAGCGTATTGGAGATAGATGCAGTGAATACTAAGTGCCACATTTACAATCGGTGCAAAGAAAAAGATTGAAAGATTCTTCTTTTAAAGCCATTGTTTCAATAAATTATTACAAACTACATTTTAATATTTGTTCTATCTTCTTTCACAAGCAGAACATTCCTCAAACTTCAACTACCAAATGTTTCTCTTAGCATAGGTAAATATTCCTTCCTCTTAAATATAAATAAGAGATTACAAAAATAATCCAAAAGTTATTTACTAAGCAAGCTGGTCTTGGCACAAGTCCACATGTTTGGAGTACTCAGTGAGGATCAAACTCACAACTAATGATCTACAAGTCCAGCTTACAGACCATTACACTATGAAGAGACAACACCATCATTATATATATATATATATATATATATATATATATATATATATATATATATATATATATATATATATATATATATATATATATAAAGAATTAATATACTTATTTTTAATCTGACATAATTATTATCTGATATTATTGTTAATGGATACCTGTGTTTAAGACTTTTTTTTCTTTTTGCTGGGCTGTGACATTGGCCAATCGGTCAAAGCATGCCAGATCAAACAGTGATTTTCTTTCTCCTACAAAACCTGGCTAGAGAGCACATTTCCTTTGCTCAAGTACATAAGCTAGTAGACATATACACACTGTTTCAAAAAAAAAAAAAAAAAACAAAAAAAAAAAAAATGGGGTGTCTACTCAAACACAGGTATACACTAAAAATAACATTTGAAGTAATAAGACAAGTGTGTGTGTGCGTGTGTCAGTCAAACAAAAATGGTTATTTGTTTATGCTTTCATTAAATTTATAGAAAATGTGAGGAAAAAAAAAAGTAAAAACAAATGAAGTGGTAAAATTGGAAAAAATTTTACATTTTTAGGTAGAAAGTAGAGTTTACACAATTTTTTTTTTTACAATTTTAAGAGCTTTTTCTAAGCCATTGTACAAGCAGAATAGTCTTTTACTTTATTCAGCTTAAATTTCTTCCAATGCAGAGTCAATATGATCGAGATCATTCCATCCCTCCACCCCAACACCAAGCAAGTTCAAATTTCTATGCTTCAAAATCCAAATTCTTTCCATTGACAAAAAAATAAAATAAAAACTCATAAGAAACAAAAGCTAACAAAAATGACAATGCAAATAAAACAGACAAGAGAAAAAAAAACAAAAAAAACAGGGGAGACAACTTTTAGAGACACCTAAATATTTCAATTTATATTTCTACTGTACATTGTAAAAAAAAAAAACAAAAAAAAAAACGGATAACAAAAGCAGAAATTTTAAATGAAAACACCAATACATAGACATTTTGTTTAATATAGATGTACGTATTTTAAATATACATGCAGGCAAACAAAGGAAGAGTACACAAAGGCAATGTAATAAGCAGTTGTATAGATGCAAGCACACTAACAAAAGACAGCTATTGTGGCTTGACCAAAATGTCATTGTACTTAGACTGGCAAATTTGAAATGAAGAAAAGAAAGGGTGAAGATTTCTTTAAGAAAATTGACATTGTGGTTTAATTAAGTGATTTTGTTTTTAATAAATTTGTCTCTTACTTGTGTCAGTTAGTTTGATTTGCTAACTTATAACATTACCTAATGAGATTAAGTTTATTGATTGATTTTATTTAGGTGACTTCATAATTGCAGATCAATATGAAATAAAATGGTAAATTATCGAGCCGAGAGAAATCACTGTCTTCATGGATGAATAAATTCAATTTGTTGATCAAGAATAGAAAAAT